CAATCAGATCTTATGTTAGAACATAGATAGGCAGGCCTAGACTTTAAGAGCTTAGGTGTATTATTATCACTTAGCTAGTTACAGGGGTATAAAAACAAAGAATCAAAATCACCGTGTGCCTGTGTCTGGGCCTTCGCTCTCTAGGACAGTCTGAGGCCCTGTTCTTAGGCTAAGGCCTTTGGCTAAGAAGCAGGGGAAGCCATAAACTGGGAAATGAACGGTTGCGTTTTTACATCCCAAACCCGTCACATTGAAATGAGGTGCTATTGGGCTGTTAGAAACATGATCCTGTCCTGATAATGCCCATCCCCACCAGATAAGGTTGTTAAAGAAAACTTAGTTTGACAGCATCCTGTCAGGCAAGAAATCACATCTCAATAATTGTGGCTGTGAAATCCTCATTCTGCCTGTTTTATCTTTATGGCCCCCACTTTTCTAGTGTTAATCTGTCTGGTTCTCTAATTGTTTCTGTCTGCTGTATAATTCATTTTGCTAGGGGTAAGTTAATTAGGGTAGTGGGATATAATTGGTTAGAGAATTATGTTACAATAACTTAGGATTGGTTAGTTACATTTCAATAAAATGATTGGTTAAGGTATAGCTGAGAATATAACTATATAAACTAGGGTTACCATATGTCCGGGTTTCCCCGGACATGTCCGGCTTTTGGGTCTTTAAATAGCCGTCCGGGGGGAATTTGTAAAAAGCTAAAAATGTCCGGGATTTCCCCCGGACGGCTATTTAAAGACCCAAAAGCGCTGACAGGGCAGCCGCGCTGGGGGAACCGTGGCAAGCCGGTGCTGCCGGCGCCGCTCACCTCCCCTCCCTGGGCCCTGGGGCAGCGCGCAGCTGAGAGCTCCTGGCGCGGCGGTGTCAGCCCACGGGGCCCCCCGCCTGGCCGGCAGGCGCCTGCAGAGCGCAGCCCTGCCCCTGCCCCGGCACACAGAGAGGCAGGGAGGTCTCACTCCCCTGCGTGCTGCAGCGGGGCGGGGCCTGTAGACTTCGGCAGCAGGCAGCGGCCGCCGGGCAGAGAGCTCCCCCCGCCCCTGCCCCCCTCCCCTCGACCCGACCCTAGGAAGGGGCCAGAGGGACTGGGAGGGACCTGCCTGCTGGATGCTTCCTGGGAGCCGCTCCAGGTAAGCACTGCTGGGCTCACCTGGCCCCCTGGCAGGTCCCTCTGGGGGGGCTCCCCTCAGACCCACTGCCCTCAGGCCCCACCCTGACCCTGTTCCCTCAGCCTCCCCCGCAGTCCCCCCTGTACCCCCACCCTCAACCAACTGCCCTCAGCCCCCCTGACCCTGTTCCCTCTGCCTCCCCCACAGTCCCTCCCCCTGATCATTTCACCCGACCCACTGCCCTCAGCCCCCACCCTGACCCTATTCCCCCTGTACCTCCCACCCCGAACCCACTGCCCTCAGTCCCTGCCCCCATTCCAACAGCCTCCCCCACAGTCCCCCTCCTCCCTGCAACCCACTGCCCTCAGCCTTGCCCTACCCCAAATCTCTTCTTCAGCCTCCCCCGTCATCCCACCCCCATCGCTCCCCCTGCTGTCCCACCCCCTCAACTTCCCCCCATTCCAGTCCTGCTCCCCTCTGTCTCATCCCCTCCAGACCCTGTCCCTCTCGCCAACCCTCCCCAGCCCAGCCCCATTGTCTCCCCCGCCCCGCCCCACCCCACTCTACACAGCTCTCTCTACCCTGTCCCATTCATGCTCCCCTCAGCCCCTACCCTACTCCCCCCATCCCAGTCCTGCCCCATCCCCCTCAGGCCCCCCAGTCCCAGTCCTGTCCCCCTCAGTTCCTCCACCCTGCTTCCCCCGGTCCATCCCCACACACCCACCGACTCCCTCGACCTCCCTCCCCCAAATCCCACTGCCTGGACCCACCCCCGTCCCACTCAGGACATGCATGAAAAAGAAGCAATGGGCTTAAATTGTAGCAAGGGAGAGTTAGGTTAGACATTAGGAAAAACTTCCTAACTGTAAAGGTAGTTAAGCACTGGACAAATGACCTAGAGAGGTTATGGAATAGCAGTCATTGGAGTTTTTTAAGAGGTTAGACAAACACCTGTCAAGGATGGTCTAGTGTTATTACTCAGTCCTGCCTCAGTGCAGGGGTTTGACTAGATGACCTGTTGATGTCCCTTCCAGTCCTACATTGCTGTGATTCACACTGAATTGCCTTGTGCCACTGTCTAGTAGTAGTGGCGCACAGTTCTCTGACATGCAGGTTTATCAAATTGTAGTTAATATACAGTTTAGAGCAATTTTAAAGCTCTGCATGTTCAGACCAACTGAGCTGAAAATTGTGATCTTGTATTCAAAACTATTAAGATGTGGGCTGAAATAAAATCAGCATGAATTGCTCAACAATATCAATGGAATCAGCATTGCGCTGCTATGTATTGTAAAACATTACAGTGAAATCTTGCAAGTATTACATAGCACGCCGCCTTGCCCAAGTGGTAACTAAGCATAACATCTTCCTGTTTCAACATTCTTAACTTGTATCCCTCCTAGAAGTTGTTTTTTTTCAAACACTGAATGCTGCTAAGTTATGAGTTTTAACAGGTTTTTTTTCTTTTAAACCACAGCACTGAATGTTATTCTAAAATTGTTTTCCAAATATTCTTAAACTCCCAGTTTATCCCCCGCTGATGTTCATTGTGAAAAGTATTGCAGGTCTAATAATAATATTTGGCACTTCTGTAATTCACTGTCCAACATGTGTTTTGTGCCCTCCTCTGGTGGATTTTTAGAGGATAACTGTATAGTTACAGGGAGTTATATCTTGAACTCAAGTAGTAGAAGCTCATGCTTTTAAGTCTGGATGGCTCGGGTTCAATCTTTGGTGACTAGCTATGATGGAGGTTGCTACACTTATAATCCCTTTAATCAGAAGTTCTGAATATGCTTTGTTGTGGGCAGAACTAGCCTATAGTTAAGCAACCGAAAATTTAGAATGGGAAGTGTTGAAATGTTGGGAAGCCTTATAATTTTGCCAATCTGGAACGAACATCCCATCTGAGGGATGGGGGCGGGGAGAGAGGAGAGTGAGACAGGACCAGGAAACTGGGACAAGGAATCCAGAGTGGTAGTGGGGGGCAGTTGAAATCAGATGAGGAGCTGGGGCGGGTTAGACAGCAATAGAATAGACATAGACTGGAGGGGATGGGGAAGAAGGGTCTTTGACTACTAGAGACCACTCCGTTCTCCAAACATTTGATTCGCGGGAAGCAGGGGAGGGGGAAGAGTAGGGGGCGAAGCATTCAGGGGAAGGGGCGGAGTTGGGGCGGGGACTTTGGGGAAGGGGCGGAGTTGGGGCGGGACCGGGGGCCCTTGGAGTGTCCTCTTTTTCCAGGACTGCAATATGGTAACCCTATATAAACTGGGGTCAAGCAGGAAGTGGGGGAAAGGGAAATTGGAATCATGTTTGCTAAGGGGGGAAATGGGAACAGGGAACGTGGAACAGGGACATGGGGTTAACGCTCTGTGGCGTCAGAGCCGGGAAGGGGGCATGGGGTAAACGCTCTGTGGCGTAGGAGCCGAGAAGTGGACACGGGTTAAACGCTCTTCGGCGTTGAAGCTGGGAAGGGGAACAGAACACTGGGGTGAACAGTCTCTATCGGCGTATAGATATAAACCCAATTGGTGTGAAGGGCTTCGGAATATGCTTGCTTGGAAACTAACCCCAATAAACATCGCATTTCCTGCACTTCCGACTTCTGGGCTTTTGCTGCTTGCTGTGTGCGTGACAAGAACCAGGGAAGTGGGAGGGTTGAGGGAAAGCCCTCTAACATCTTCTATGAGTTTCCTCACTGCTCACCAAAACCAAATCTAAAATGGCATCACCTCTCGTTGGCTCAGCGACTATTTGGTGAAGAAATCTATCATCTATCAGATCCAGGATTAGCTGGGCCCTATTATTATTAGTAGCACTTCTCCTCCTATCTATATCTGGAAGTTAGTCTCCCAGAATCACACAACTCTCAGCAGTATTTATTTTATGAAAAACATCAAAGAGGTCTCCATCCATATTCAAATCAGATCCTGGGGGGCTGTAGCAGACCCCAGCACTAACCCAGGGGAGATTCTGGTAGCTTTGTTCTTCAAAGTGATTTTGACCCAAACAGACTTTGTTTTATCCATTCTATGACTTCTAATTTCTTTACAGTCTATATCGTTAATCTACACTGCTACTCCACCACCTTTGCCTTTATTTCTGTCTTTCCTGAACAGCACATACCCTTCAATACCCACACTCCAGTCATGACTACTAGTCTATCATGGTTCTCTTATCCCTATAATATCTGGTTTCACTTCCTGCACCAGTAATTTTTGTTCCTCCGGTTTGTAACCCAGGCTCCTTGCATTGGTGTACAGACATCTTAATTGGGTACAGTCATTCTACTGCCAGTATTGACTACCTGACTGTAGTGCCATTGGCATCAGTGCTATCTTTCCCCTTCATGTCCATTCTCCAACCCAGTGCTGTTCTTTTCTCCACTGCTGTAGCCTTTCTTACATGATTTTCCTCCTTTTCTATGTTAAAATCAGGGAGTGGCGTGGGTTGCTCAGTAAAGGGCGCTCTCCCTTGGCAGCCAGGGCTGGCCCGATGCCCTCGTGTGGTGCTAGGGGGCGCTGTGCTGCAATGGAAGAGTTGCATGTGGTTTTTGGGAAGTTACAATCTAAGTTTCAGAGGGGTAGCCGTGTTAGTCTGTATCAGCAAAAACAACAAGGAGTCCTCGTAGCACCTTAGAGACTAACAAATTTATTTAGGCATAAGCTTTCGTGGGCTAGAACCCACTTCATCCGATGCATGGAGTGGAAAATACAGGAGCAGGTATAAACACATGAAAAGGCAACTCACATCTTTTCATGTATTTATACCTGCTCCTGTATGTTCCACTCCATGCATCTGATGAAGTGGGTTCTAGCCGACGAAAACAATCTAAGTTGTTTCGCTCTAAATCCCTTGCCCAGCCCCGGGGATCTGGGCCCAATGGCCTTTGAGACAATCCGCCAGGGACGGGAGCGACTCATCGCCCTCCTTCTCACCACCCCCGACCCCGTCTTGGACGAAGTGGCCTCGCTGGGGATAGTCACCGAGGAGGAGTACGAGGCCTTGGAGAAGCTCTCGGAGCCCAGGGAGAGGATCCGAAGGCTGCTGATAAAGTTCCAGAGAAAGGGGGAGCGCGGCTGTGAGCAGTTCCTGGAGTGTCTGCAGAGCCTCTTCCCAGACTTCCCGCTGGATTTACAGCCCCCGGGACGCCGTGAGTTAGGGCTTTCTGAGTCAGTTCAGTTTTAGCAGGTGTAATGATGCTGCCTTTGGCGGGACACTACTGAGAGTATCAATTCAGGAGAAATTGCTTAGAGCCGGGCAGTCACAGCCCAAGGCTGGGTGTCCTTTATTATGAAGACACCAAACCAGCCAAACAGAGAGGACTTTGGTTTCACCCCACTGGCTAACCATAAGTCATACAAGCAATTTCCTTAGACACTCCAGTTTCCCAGAATCACCACCAGTGCCACTTGTTATGGGGATGACTGGTTATGAAAACCAATTCCCCAGTAAAAGAAAAAAGGTTTTCCTGATCACAAAGGACCAAGTCCCAGATCCAGGTCAAATGATAACTTAGATCTTACCCAAAATACACGTTTATAGCCAATTCTTATTAACTAAACTAAAATTTATTAAAAAAGAAACGAGAGAGAGTTGGTTGAAAGATCAATATACAGACAGACTTGAGGTCTATTTCTTGAGGTCCAGATACATAGCAGAGATGGTGAGTTTGTAGTTGCCAAAAGTTCTTTTAGAAATAGTCCATCGGTTATAGTCCACATTCAGAGTGACTCCAGTCAGTGACTCAATTCTTATGGCTTAGGGTTTCCACTTCTTGAAACCCAAAGCAGATCTGAGATGAAGAAGGATCGTGTCCCATAGTTTTTATACATTTCCAGCAGCCTTTTGGCCTGAGAAAACAATAGGCTTAACTCTCCTTCTCCCAAACATCACGGCAATTAGCACAGAGTGATTTATCCATTAAACAGTTCAGATACAGGTTACCAAAACCTTCAAAGAGACACATAGACAATAATACTATTTCACTGCAGTGTCTTCCTAAATATTAATACTCCTTTTTTGATCTTTGAATCAAAGCCATAGTAATAGACAAGACTTGTTTGCTTACATCACAAGACCTGAGCAAACAGCTCCCCTTCTATCTCTAATGCAGGCTAGCATTTTAAAGCTCTATTCATTTACATAGCGTCCTAACAAGTCTTTAAAGTTCCGCCATGAGTCATGTCGGTCTGTGAGTTAATTAACTCTTTCTGGCCCTGTTTCACCTTTCAATGAGATATTATATTACGCTCATAACATCACAGCAGGATTGAATAAAAGTGACATAAAATGTAGCCGGGAGATATTGCCATGTGGCTACGTATTGGTGACGGGTTGGACCAATGGTTAGAGCAGAGGGGGCTGGGAGTCAGGACTTCTGGGTTCTAATTTGGCCTTTTCTTATGTCTCTCTGTGAGGTCTTGAGGAGACCATGTCACTGGGATAATCACAGGTTTCAGAGCAGCAGCCGTGTTAATCTGTAGCCGCAAAAAGAACAGGAGTACGTGTGGCACCTTAGAGACTAACAAATTTATTTGAGCATAAGCTTTTCATAACATTCCTTGAAACCTGAGGATTTAGCGCCAAATCCCCCCCGCCAAATTTTTTGTCACAGTCCCATGCCTCACCCGCCCCCCCCCGCAATGTAACACCTTAACAATCCTTACACCACAGGATTTCTCTGTCTATTTTTAATCTTTTCCCTCACTACTGAGCTAACTAACATGCAGGGCAGCAGCCGGCAGCCTCACGAAAGCAGCTGAGGACTGAACAGAGGCACATCCCCGTTGTCTCTCACCCAGGGAAGTGTCTGGAATTGCAAAGAATTCTGTAAGGCGCTGATGAGGTGTCTATTTGTTTTCCCTTTGCAGGGTGCGTAACTCAGACGAATGATGCAGAGAGTCCAGAAGGTGGCGCATTTGCCGAGAAGATAGGAGCAGAAAATCCACAAGTTGCTGTAACCTTGGGAAAGAATGAGCTAGAGAATCCAGGAGGTGCCACATCCCTAGAGAAGAATGATCTAGAGAATCCAGAAACAGCTCTACCACACAAGGAGAATGATCTAGGGAATCCAGATGGTCGCCCATCCTCAGGGACTATTGATTCACAGAACTCAGAAGATGCCACGTCCTCAGAGAAGAATGATCCAGAAAAGCTGGAAGAACCTGAGAAGCCGTAAGCTGTGTTGTCCTCAGGGAAGGGACCGGTGACACCAAATTCTGCCACATCTCCACTGAAGAATGGACCAGAAAATCCAGGAATGGCTTTATCCACAAAGAATGATCCAGAGAGTCCAGGAGGTGACAGATCCTCAGAGAAGGATGCAGCTGCTGAGTCCTCGGAGAGAGCAGATTTTGAAGGTACAGGATGGGTCTCTACACTTGCGTTGTAGGGCAATGCTTAAGAAGTGTTTATGGCTGTCCTGCACTGGGCACAGGATCCCAGGTGGGTTCTCCCCAGGGCTGGATAGAGAGGGACAGAGGGAAAGCAGTGCTAGATTTAAGACGTAGGAAGGGTCTAGTTCCTCTGCGCTTGGACCCCTTGCAAGAGCAGAAGGTGCTTGTGCATGTAAGGAAACAATTGCTCATGGACATCCAGGGGAGGAGAGGAGGTGCTTCTGGCTCCATGGAGCTATGTGGAGTAGCAGGTTAACTCAGCCACGATCCCCACCTCACACAGCTTAGTACCTTGAGCTCAATTTCAGCAGCTCCAGCTACAATCTCGGTTCTTCCTCTATTATTTCAGCAGGGGCTAAGGTAGGACTCTGGGTAGTCTGGAGTTCTCGAAGGGGTTCATGAGATGGAGCAAGAATCTAAGGCCACCCCTTGAAATCCCCCCTAGGCTAGACAAAGTCTATGGTCTAGATCAGTGGTTCTCAAACTGGGGGTCAGGACCCCGCAGTGGGTCATGAGGTTATTATGTGGGGGGTCGCGAGCTGTCAGCCTCCACCCCAAACCCCACTTTGCCTCCAGCATTTATAATGGTGTTAAATATATAAAAAAGTGTTTTTAATTCATAAGGGGGGGTCGCGCTCGTAGGCTTGCTATGCAAAAAGGGTCACCAGTACAAACGTTTGATCTAGATCGATAGGCTCCTATCTTCCATTACTATGAGCCTAAGAGACTTTCACTTGTATTGCTTTGTAGGGTCTGGAAATATCCCCAGGCATGGAGAAGGACAGATGGCTGCAGTAAAGGGGAAAGTTGAGGTAAGGTCCATCCTCAGAGCCCACTGACATCTCAAGGACAACTTGGGAAGCTAGTCTATTTATCAATGAGGATGGAAGGGAAAGAATATGCTCTAGTGGGATAGAGCAGGGCAGGAGAGGAGGGGACAGCTGGGAGCCAGGACTCCTGGGTTCTCTCCCCAGCTCTGGAAGAGGAGTGGGGTCTAGTGTGTTAGAGGAGTGTGTGGGGGGGACTAAGAATCTGGGATCCTGGGTTCAAGTCCTGTTTCTTGTTGACAGATGGGGTTTCAGGAGAACAGGTTTGGGAGCCAAGATCGGAGGGATTCTCTGGGAAGGATTTGGGCCTGGTTTGGTGTGGGGTCCCATGCGGAGCGGATAAAGCACACGACCAATGTGGTTGCAAGCTGAATTGAACTCTGTTTATTACAAGCTTTCTTTTATAGTCTTTCTTAACATTACATAACACAATTAGGCTATAATTACACATCTACCGATTGGACAAGAAGGAGAATCATGTGTTTATCACATGTATAGCCCCACACCGATTGGTTCAATTGTTCCTTAGGCCTGGTCTACACTACGGGATTAATTCGGATTTAGCAGCGTTAATTCGAATTAACCCTTCACCCGTCCACACAACAGAGCCATTTAGTTCGAATTAAAGGGCGCTTTAAATCGATTTCTGTACTCCACCTCGACGAGCGGAGTAGCGCCAAAATCGATTTTGTTAATTCGAATTAGGGTTAGTGTGGCCGCCACCACCGAATTAATGTGGTTAAAAAACGAATTAATGTGCTTAGTGTGGCCGCGCACAATCGAATTTATACAACCTGTTTCCCAAATTCGAATTATCTAAATTCGGATTAATCCCGTAGTGTAGACATACCCTTACATAAGGCCATGATTTATTACCTTGTTTACCTCATCTTATATAATCCCTAGACCACCAGGGGGCCTTACATAAGGCCATGATTTATTACCTTGCAAGTGTCCCATCGTGACCCTTACCTTCTCATGGAACTTTCCATTAGGTTGGCGTAAGGATGATACATCCCCACAGTTTGGTTTGGTTCTGCACAGGGTTAGAGGTTGGATCTGTAGTGAATGGAATAGAATCTGTTGCGCATGTCCAGGTCTCCCATCACCCTGGTGTCTGGGCTGCAGACACAACCCCCATTCCATGGCTCTGCCTTTGTTCATGCTCCGTCTGTCAGTCCTGCGCCCTCATCCCACCTAACATGGGCTGTGGGAGACAGACACCGAGGACACAGGGGCACTGGGAAGGACTAGGACATCTGAGGAGGCTTCTCTTCGGGATCCTTAGAGGAGCAACTCCAGAGTCTGATGTCTCCACCCTGGAGAGCAGAGCCAAGACACCAGGCGCTTCCGCCTTGGTGGAGGGGAGCGGACCTGAGGATCCAGAGACCTCTCCCAACAAAGTTCATACAGGCAGAATTCAGACAACATCCCCTCGGCCCCTCTCCCAACCCAGGGCCCCTGCCCTGGTGGGGAAACAGGAGCTGGGTCTCCATGGCCCATTCCATCCTTGGCCATGGGCTGAGTCGGCTAATGAGGAAGTCAGTCAGGGCCCTCCACGTTCCCCAGGTTCTTCCATCCAGCGTCTCCATCTCCATACACCTGCTGCGCTCGAGCTCCTGACCATCCCCTGTGTATTGTCCATCTGTGAAGCACGTGGAAGATGCCCTACGCCCTGCCTGCCTGTGAACCCCTGGCTGGCCTCCCCACTACTCCTCCACTTCTTCCCTCTGGGTCTGCTTCGACGGCTAGGCCAGATTCCTGCTCTGATCACGAGGTTGCACTACCTACACCTCGGTGTGGGACACGCAGCCCCAGAAGTGGGGAGTGGGATCTGGGTAAGGGAAGCCTCCCTAAGTGTTAGCTGAGACAGAGGGGTGTGAACAGTTGGGTGAGTTAGCTCCCTTTACTTCTTAGGCTATGGGCCCCTCCACTGAGATTAATCAAGACGGCGTTTGGAAAAGGCTGGTGTCGGTCCCTGAATTCACACACTGGCCTCAGCTCCCAGCGGTGCGCCTGGCATTACCCATTACCGCTGGGGTCTGTAGCTATTTCCCGGTCTGTGAGTGGGATCGTGGGGAGATTCCACCCCAGGGAGGTGAAGGCTGGAGGCCTAAATCTTGGGAACAGAGACTGAGAGGAGGCCAAGGTGCAGATGGCGCTGAGCTGTGACACCATCCCGGGTGGTGACACCTTCGATTACATCCTGTCTAAGTTTAGGCTCAGGAAGGTAAGAAACAGGAAGCTCGGGCTGAGGGATCTCCTGCAAATCAGGCCAGACAGCCTGAAGCACTCGACTCCTCACGCCTGGGGAGACTTGCCTTGGCACTTCCTGAGAAAGCTCATGTAAGAAACCCCCAAAATAGGAAAATCTATTTCCACCCGCCCCTGTTTTTGAAAATGAAAACCAATAAAAGGTGTGACCAAGGGATGCAGGGGGCGGCTTGGAGCACATGATCCAGGGCCGGGTTATTTATCGACTGACATCGATGGGGTCAGGGCTGGATTCTGATCTCAGTGACCCGGCTGTAAATCAATCAATCTCTCTTTGTCCTTTTGAAATCTAGCTCCCTGTTGTAAATTCTTTCTATCTGTTCCAATACACCCCATCTATCTCTCCCCATACACCCCATCTAATCTATCTCCACACACCACCACCCTTCTCTAATCTACTCCTTTGCATACAGAAGTTCCCAGTGCTCAGGGCTGGGGCAGACCCTTGCTTGGGGGGGGGGTGATGGTTCCTCCCCATTATGTGTTCCCTGCAGCGGGGGGCTTCTGATCCGAACACCCTGCCCTCGGGCGTTGGTACCTTTTGCATTCTGAGCCGCCTTCTGTCCAAAGCAGATCCCCACCATCCTGCCCACATCTTCCTGAAATTTAAGATTGTAACTATTTGTATGTACTTTAACTTTGTAGCTAATTATTATATAATAAATCTGAGAGAGTTTATTACAGGATTGGCTAAAAGTGTTGTCTGTGGTGTGAGATCTCTGGTGCAATTGTTGTGGGGTAGGTGATGGGTCCTTTGGGGCTGGGAGTAACCTGAATATCGCTGTGATCTCTGGTGTAAGGGACCATCTATCACAAAGGCAGCCTCACCTGGGTGACCAGATAGATCGGGGTGCCCGAGGGGACTGCCTGAGACTCCATGGTAAGGCTGTTACAGCACCTGAGGAGCTCACACTTGATACTGGGTCAGTGAAATCTAAGTCTAGGACTCGCAGCCCATATGGGGTTTGTGCCCTGAGTCTCACCAGTCTGTCCTGAGATGGGTACTCAGGCTTTTGAGTCACTGTAAAACAGTTTGACAGGGATGTGGGGCCTGTCCCCTCTAGGGGGCGCCGGCTACAGGCCAGGGGACTGGCTGGCTCAGGGGTGCGGGCAGGGAATGGGATGCACTATTGCTAGTCGATTCCTGTTTCTCTTCCTTTAACCCTCCGGCCTGATCTCTGCTCGGGGAAAAGGTGTGTGAGTGACCCGTTTGACAAGCCGAGTGCAGACGTTCAGACCCCAGCTACATGAGTTAAGAGCACAATTGTCCTGTCCTCACTTGGACAGTAACATGGGTCAGTTCCCATGAATTCAAACTCCTCCTTTCTTCCCCACACATTTGCTGTGACCCTCCCTCCTCCCAGCTGATGGAAATATTTCACCTGAGTCTTTTTGTCACCAAAAAATGAGTTTTCATCACAAAACACGTTTTTGTTTGTGGGAAAACTGTCGTTTTTGATGTGCCTTTTTGGTGGGAAAATTTCATTGGGAGAATAAACTGAAAAATGTTGGAAGGAGAATTTGGGGGTTTTCTAACCTCCCTCCCCTCTTTGTATCATTTTTCAAATAAGTGGGGAAATGAGGGAAACCCCCCTCCCAAATTGTCTCCTCTACACCCACTTCTTCAAGGGAGGAGAAAATGTCAAAAAAAACAACCACCAAATGCAAATATGAGAATCAGT